AGGCTGAGAGAGTGTGACTTGCCCAAGGTCATCCAGTGGGTTTCCATAATCAAGTGAGGATTTGAACCCTGGCCTCCAGAGTCATAGTCCAACACTCAAACCACTATACATCACATCACTCTGGCTCTATTGTCATTGTTATTTTATTTTCTATATCTTTAATTGACATCCGTCAAGCCATGCTGCTTCTCTCTTAATACAACATAGAGGTTGTTGTTGTTGTTGTTGTGTGCCTTCAAGTTGTTTCCAACTCATGGCTACCCTAAGGCTATGAACTAATCATGGGCTTTTCTTGGCAAGGTTTGTTTAAAGGAGGTTTACCATTGCCTTCCCCTGAGGCTGAGAGAGTGTGACTTGCCCAAGGTCACCCAGAGGGCCTCCATGGATGAGGTGAGATTTGAACCATGGTCTCCCAGAGTGGTAGTCAAACCACTGCACCACGCTGCCTCTCTTATTAAGGTATACCATTTGTTGTTGTTGTGTGCCTTCAAGCCATTTCTGAGTTATATGGTGACTCATGGGCTTTTCTTGGCAAGATTTGTTCAGAAGATTTGCCGTTGCCATCCTCTGAGGCTGAGAGAGTGTGACTCGCACAAGGTCACCAGTGGTTTCATGGTCGAGCGGGGATTCAAACCCTGGTCTCCAGAGTTGTAGTCCAACACTCAAACCACAACGCCACACTGGCCCCTTATTATGGCCATCCTGAGGTGAACGTATCATGGGTTTTGTTGGGGTTTTTTTGGCAAGTTTCTTCAGAGGTGGTTTGCCATTGCCACCTTGAGGCTGAGAGAGAGTGACTTGCTTATTATTGCTGTTGTGTACCTTCAGGTTGTCCCCCACTTCTGGAGACCCTAGGATTCCCTCAGAAACCTATCACAGGGTTTTCTTGGCAAAATTTGTTCAGAGGGGTTTGGCCTTGGCCTTTGCCACCCGCTGAGGCTGAGAGAGTGTGACTCAAGTGGGTTTTCATGGCTCAGGTGACATTTGAACCCTGGTCTCCTGAGTGGTAGTCAAAGCACACCATGCTGCCTCTCTTAATAAGCTATAGTTTATTGTTGTTGTTGCTGCTGTTGTTGTTGTTGTGTGTCTTCAAGTCCCTAAGGGGAACTTATGAGGGGTGTTTTTATTTTCCTGGCAAGATTTGTTGTTTCATTTTAAAGTGTTTTTATACAGTTTTATCTTTTGAAAAAAAATGTATTTTATTCTTTGGGTAGCTATCTATTTTAACACGGTAATAACGTAATTCCTTTTTAGTGCACCTCTTTTTTAATGTTTTTTAATTGTATTGCTTTTCAATATTGTGAAGCTGCCCTGAGTCCCAGTTCTGCGACAAATTATTATTTATTGTTATTATTATTATTAGGTCTGAGGTCACCCTCTGAGGCTGAGAGAGTGTAACTTGGGGATAATAGGATATACAGTCTCAAATTCCCAAGGTAAGCAGGGCCTGTTGTTGTTGTTGTTGTTTGTGGGGGAAGGTGTGTTTAGACTCTTCCTTCCACTAAGAAGCTGGAAT